TATTATCTGCATAGATTCAGACAATTAATTCATTTAATTGAGGTCGCGATTACACTCACCAGATTGCTATATTGGAGAGTTTCGAATTTTGTACATGCATGTACATTGTATTGCAAGCCTGTGAAGTTGCTTTTGATAACAAGCAAGCTCTCCGTTTATCTGAATAAAAAAATACACAAATTTGTTAATTAATTTATAGCGAACGTATTTAATGGGGGCTTATACAGCTGTACACTTTTCAGCGCGCACGAGCCACAACTATTGACCAAGAGTGGCTTGGTGTCATCTGATCGTGTAGCAACCACCCCATGCATGCATGCAGGGATTGTTTGAACTAATGAAATTAAACAAATATTTTTTTGAAAAATGATATCAAATTTTAGATTAGAAACACTTATTTACATATTTATAAAGACATTAGAACTATGTATGTATATATATATGATATATATATATTATAAAATAATAAAGGTAAATTCGTATGGACTGTCCTCTTGTACATAATATTATCAAAGGTTACTAAATGCAAGTTCAACTCGATTTTCTTCTGACTTTAACGATATTCCAAACGAGAATTGCATCAGTGCTTTAAAACTGGATCTCAAGTCTCAACTAATGGCAGTTTGATCTAGTTCGATTCTTCGATATTTTGCCTGCGGCTGCAGCTGTTGAGTTATTCAGGATTGGAGTCCGATATTGTTAATATGACAATTATGACGCTGGAAATTAGTCCCAATTTCTCTGTGTGTTTTTTAACTTTCAAGAACTATAATCATCCAATAACTGATTTAAAAAACTTAAAGAGTTCAATGTCACCCTTATTCTACTTCAAAATGAAAAGATATATATTGCTGCATTACGAATGCAGACCATCTACCTGAAGTAGTGTTTTAACGAATTAATCAACATTTAAATCCACTCAAAATATTTAGATTCGACGCAGTGGACGCATGACTTGTTACCACAGGCACGAATTCAGCAAAAAGTATTCATTTTCATTGTTTTTTTTATAACTTCAGGCATAAACCATACCAAGTTAGACGTCAGAGATACGGAATTATTGCATTTTTTAAAGCTTCCAGATTCGTTTCGAGGATTTGATTCGGAAACACCATGCAACGCTGAATCCTGACAAATGATTAGTACTTTGAGAAAAATAAATATACTGCACTCATGCAGCACAAATTTAAGCTTGAAAATTTGACCGCGGTAGTCTAATCATTTGACCGTTGTGGTTTGCGGTTTTAAAGAATGATGAAAAAATGCACGAATCCAAAATTATTTGGTCGAAAAATTACGAAATAATCTACTTCAAAATTATGAAATTATCTAGTCAATATTTCTGTTTTGACATGCGTTTAATCCAACTCATAAATCAGATGAAAATGTCTAGATGACATAATATTATAATCAGGCAAGCAAAATCAGATCTACATTATTATGCCAAGAGACGTATTTTGTTACAAAAACATGCAATCTTGGATTTGACGAGATAGAATCAAACGTCTTCGGGTGTTTCGCGGCTCGCTCGTTGATTTGACATTTTTCGAAATTTCCTGTACGAATTCCTGAACCAATTCGGAACGAACAATCTCGAGGAGTCGCCGACCGTGTCTACGAAAGCGTTATCGTTATTGTTTTGATCGCCAATATTCAAGTTGAATTTCACTCCATGTTTTGCGTTCCCGTTGTTGTTCGAAAGTCGTACGGTGATCGATTGTCGACTTTCCGAAAAACTTTTCGCGGCCTTAGATTTTTTTTTCATTTGTAGGCATTCGTCGTGGGCGTTCAAAAGTCTTCGCGACTCAGGAGAGCTCTTTCCAAACTCGTGTACCGAATCGAAATCGCCGTCCTCCTCGTCGTACGGGTTTCCTTTCGGCCGACCGATTTTCGTAGCGTTTGATTTCCGCAAACTCACACTCGGTGTGGAACTCGTACTGGACGATGAAGACTCGCCAATCTCGTCCGCGGTCGATCCAGAGTCCAAACTATCGTTTTCCATCCTTTTGAAGCCGAGTTGAAAAGCGCTCGTCGTGAAATGGTAAAATTCAGCGGTCCGCGCTGTACTCTTGCTGTAGAAGACGAACGGTTTGTACAAAGGCTCATTATACTCCCTTGCAACCAGCACGCTCGTCTTGGAATAAGGTGCTTGATCCAAACACGTCGTCACGTCCTTCACGTAGGCCAAAGGGAACGTTAGCAAAATTTCGTCTTCATCTTCGTTAAAAACGTTGATCTTTTCCGCGTCCACAAACACGACAACAGTTCGTGCTTTGCTGAGCTTTGCATTTCTCTCCGAATACAACGCGTGGATATCATGTATCACGTTCGCTATCTCAAGATCACTGCCGCCGAATTCTAGTCCTTCGCCGCACCCCAAATACTGCATCGTGAATTTGAAGCCAGCGATGATTTCTTCATCACGAAATCGGGTTGGATTTTTCTCGTTTTGCTTCATGTCGGATTGATCTGAACGCGCAGTCAGAGGTGGCGATGTTTCCTAAACGAAGATAGGGGCATTAATGATTTAATGAGAGGTCCTCTAAGGACAAAGTCCTTGCTGTGGCCACAAAGCCACTTACAATTAGACCACAATACCTGTTTATCAGGTTTAAAATTAAGTAGCCTTGAGAAAGTATTGATAATACGAAGAACATGCATGTTGGACTCGCTCGCTCGACAAATACACACACAGATATGGCCGTAACAATTTGCACAGCTGACTTTTGCAAACCTTTTCAAAATATGTGTTGTTTACCGCGCCATGCCACCTTTGTGCAAGACTTATCCCGCACAATAAGTGACCCAGGGTGACCCGAAATACCATCGATAACTCTAAACATCTGGTTCATGTCTCTGAAGAATGAATGAAATGAAAAACAAATCTTTCCACCCTAAGTCTCACCTGTTTGCTGTATTTATTGTATTTCGGTATTCGCGATCGTGTTCGCGTGATCGGATATTGTCATAAGGCTTAATTAAAATGCACTTTATTAAGCACCATTTTTAATTCCTTGACAGATTCGGTGCTGCTTTTCAACAAATACATTCGCTGTCATGTAATCTCAGTAACCTGACCTATATTGTAGGCTTACAAATTTAAGGCTTCTATTCAAGTCTGATATGCCCTTTGGGAGAAATTTAACCGCAGGCTACACGCTACGGCAATGGGGCACGAACTGATTTTTGTTTACTTATTGAGCCTTGAGGGGGCGAGAGCGAAATTTGGAATCTCACATCTGTCGCGGTGACAAGGAAGTGCAATCAATTTCACTAGTTGCAGCTGAAATGTTTGCCAGCTATTCCTAACCAAAACAAAAATAAAGAGAAAATATTTCAGGTCCAATCCCCTCCTCAGCTGAAGGGTATATTGTATCCAAACATACGCCAGTCGCCAGACTCGCCAGTGTAAATTTGTCAAACTGCCAAAATCTGCATGCAATTTGTTCAATTATAATCTATGTAACATAAAATACTAAAACTGAATTTTGGTTAAAAAATAATATAATTCAGGCAGTTGTACGACAGCCGGATAGTGCTAATCACCGGATACTGATTTTTTCAACGGTTCTAAGACTGCTCGAAAAGCGATACAATTTCATCTTTGGAACCAACAAATATTAAAGAAGAAAGTTATAGCAAACAACGGGCGATTTTCAAGCGATTGAAAAAAACACTCTTCGGCGGATAGCGCTATCCGGCTTTCATACAACCGGCCCCTGATAGCTCTTTCAAAATCGCTCTAAAAATTGACTAAAATTGCCTGTTGTTCGCTAATCGCTATAGCTTGAATTAAGCAATAGTCTTTAATAACTTTTATAGCTCCGTCTGTTGCTTTCCACCTTTGAGGCATGTTTACAACGGTTGAAAAATAAATGACTATCCGATCCGATGGATAGCGCTATCCCATGCAGCTTTCGTGCGATTACAACAAACAAGTCAAGCCCTCAACACGCCGACAATAAGCTAGGCAAGGCAAATTAAACATGCCTAAACGACATCAGGACAAGTCAACAATATAATCTCAATTTACATACCGGTATGTACATACACACGGTATATACTCGCCTGCATGCAAATATTCAACCTGCGACATAGTCACATAGGAAAATTCGTCTTCTATATAATTTAGAGGTGAATTTACGAAACGAACTAACTACAACAAGGAAACCTCTCTTTGAAACACTTTCTGTTAGTCGTACACCTCGGGTCATAGCAATATACTTTCAAACTAAAATTAGCGATAATTAATCAGTGGGTTTGCAATGTATGCCGCCATATTGTTTATTTTTAAACCACATCTTTTGTGGATGTTGCTTCTATATTTAATAAAGCCACCCCGCGAAATACGGTAGACATCGGAACTGCTAGAATTACGTTACAAAATGAACGAAGAAAAAGCAATTTAACTTAGTTTGTTCTCATAAACAAAAAGGCAGCAGACGGAATATTCGCAATACGAATTCGCAGTCAATGCTGCATACCGGTTATCCAAAAACAAAGCATAATTGAATTTTATTGTTCTCACTAATTTCGTTATGTCTTATGATGTCAAACTGCGATCAAATTAAATTCCTTGTACAGTACCAACAATTTTGAAAAAGTACTGATAAGAAAATTACTGCAGTGTACAAAGTCAAAGAGCCTCCGGAGTATACGCAACATGATATGCCTCGTTGGAGACTTCTATATAATTAAGGTCTATAATAAAGTAGCGAATACCATATAATTGGTACATTTACCAACAGTCATAAAATGAATGTGTCAAAAATTCAGTCTGAAATGTCGAAATATCGTTAAAAATATGTGTATGAGCATTTGTCCTTCATTTCGACCGCTATACTGCATCAGTTTAGATTTGATTACTCAAAATGGCGAACCGCGGCTGTAAATTGTGATGGGATTCATATAAGAGCAGAAATAGTTTTGACTTTTGATACGTACCATGCAACAAACCTTGAATTATATTGCATTTCAACAGATAGTGTTCTTTAGTGCTGACCACGTTCGGAAAAAGCAGAGATTGTAGACTTTTTCATCATATGCGGGAGTATTGCGATATTGAACCCTAATTTGCAAAACTGAATTCGAAATTAGTTGAGTTAGTTGAGTATGCACATATTTTTTGCGATGAAAACTACTTTAGTTCCGGCTGGTTGACAAGTTTAATTCACCCTAAGAATGCCTGGTTGGTGATCACTGGCTTCCTTGTATCAACACTCGGATTATTGCATAACAATATAACAATAAACCCGGTTTTCGACAGTTCTAATACGGGCTATATATATATACCGTGACCGTGTGTCCCTCAAAAAGGTACACTCTATTGAAAATTAAGTCACTCTTTTTTTTTCAATGGTAGTTTTTTTAGACACATGTATATATATGCTATATATTTATTCACTTAGAATTCGAACGACCAAACTAAAACCGAATATTACAACATTGGCATAAGACTACTGATAAAACTGTGTTATACACCACACGATGATTTCTCGTCTACAATTTGCAGCTCATTTCTACTTCTGAAAGATGTGAATTTGGCAATTTGGCGATATGAATTTGGCAATTTGTATGCTGAAGTACAAATGTACAATTATAATAAGTTGTGCAGTTAATCATGCCAAAATCATACTCGTGGTTAACAAATGCGGTGTGTTGATTTTGTAATCACTCGTATGACTTTTATTAATTGTATGTCAGCGCAGTTAATTATTTTGCCAAAATAAACAAAATGGCGGAAACAAATGAAAAAGGCCTGGCTGGAGGAACTAATTAACTGAAACGGCCAGGTAAATGAAAACTTGCAAAGGACCAAATATAAATATCATTTGTCTTAACGTCCGGCAGGACAGTGTTTTGACAAAAAAATATTATGGTGGCAGAGAAAATTATGTCCCAAAAGATCGCGGCGATAAAGGAATCGTACTATAAATCCCGAATTGTATCCGTCATCGCATGATTACAGCTATACTAATTGATGCTCATCTTTTCTTTTTTTTAGTTATGTTGCTAGAAAATACTGCAGTGAGGTCCTGCCGAGATAACCAGGAAAACCTGCTCTGGTGGGATAATTACTTATTGACAGATATTTTATGCTGTTAAATTATATATGCAGCTTAGACTATATAATCATACTATGAACTCCATGCAGTGTAGGGATTAATCTGGCTTCGATATGCTGCATTTCATTCCTTACGTTTTTTTACATGCGCAAAAATAGGTTCTTTACGTACAAGTGCTAGCAAGGTCACTATAGTCAAGGTCGGAGTGCCTTTTGGGCGAATGCGAAAAAAATTTATTCTGATGCTTCCAGCGTTGATTTAAGCGGGTTAAGACTTAAGAGGGTATGTTTTTATGCGACCTGTAACTCGGAACCGTATTTTAACATCAATTGGTTGCAATAAGATGCGGAGAACGGCGACGAAATTGTAACCCACGATACCTAGAACTTAACGTGCGAACAAGCTCACACTATATATATGTGCGCGCAGTGTCTCGAGCACTCGAAGATTTCTATTACTTGTCGTGTGGAGGCCGTACGACATACACTGAATGATGATTGGTTGGAATTATCAGTTTATCCAGTAATAACGTACCCCTTCAGGCTTCACGAACAACATGCGTTTCAGCGTGCCTCTACACAGAGGATCTTATTATCAAAATGTCTTCAAAATCCATTTTTAATGCTGTACTAGCTTAATCAGATTATAAATGCATCATCAAGCTATCGCCCTGGAACATTGCCATTTTGTTTTAATCAGGTTTTTCTCCTGATGGAATATGGATACATAAACACGAGTTCGATTGAATTTCAAATAGGAATGTGGGTGTTTATAAAACGATATATATATACATCATCACTTTACCTTGTTCCTTGACCTTAGCTCCGAATAGTTCAATCCCGAGCGGCAGACGGCAGTATATCTTGTTGATTTAATATGTGATTTTTTTACCACAATTAAGAAATCAATCGGCAAGCTTTGATTTCAGTTTTGATGCCAATTAATGAACGTATTCTTATAAAGCTGTCGTTAAGATTTTATCTTCAATAATGCACTCTTTCTGGCCTTTTGTAAGGAGGTATATAGGCTCGGATTTTTTCCCTAAATTAATTATTCACACGGTTCCAAGTTTAGGGTTGTTTACTCCCTTTATGGTACGGACTGGCCCACATGGATACCGGAAAATTTTCCGGCGCGCCACGACTTATATGCTCTTAGCATTGCGCGCCCGTTTTGGAGACAAATATGCAAAGAATGATAAAACTTTCGAAAATATTAAACACAAAAACATTCTGAAACTATGCAATATGCATTGCCCGATTGCGATGCATGTCATATACATAAATCATCATTGTGTATACTTTTGCATGAGTGAATCAAATCATAGTGATCAAATCGAGCTAAAATTTAGGGACGGAACATATTTTCTTTGGGGAGTAGGTTGAATTTAAGACAAGTTTCTTGTTAATCTCATCGGCCATAAAATGACTAGAAA